TGACTCAGCTAGGGCTTGATCCGTGGATAGGTATTTATTGAGCGCCCTCTAAAGGCCGGGTGTTGAGCTCTGAGGACTAAGCCAAGCACAGAGAGACGAGGTTGGGAAACTCGGAGTTCCGTTCTCTTAGGAGCAGAAAAGTACTGCTCAGGAGACACATACATAAAATAACAAGCAAACACATGCTCATTCCAAACCTTTGCGTAGAGTCAGTTCTGACAGGTGGTGGACCCCACGTGACAGTGGTGCTATTCCATAGCGTTTTCTTGGCTGGCATCGTTATGAAAGCAAATTGCCAGACCTTCCTTCAGCACATGGCTGGGAAGGTTCAAACTGTCGACCTATAGGTTAGTCAAACCCACTGCCATCAAGTCGATTCCGACTCATAGAGACCTCCCCCCAATGGGTTTCTGAGGCGGGAAATCTTTACAGAAGTAGATTGACCCGTCTTCCTTTTGTGGAACAGCTGGTGGGTTGGAACCACCAACCTTCTGCTTAGCAGTCAAATGCCTTAGGCACTGTACCACCACACAGGGTCCTTTTATAAGCAAATACATACGTGAACAAGATAAGGATTGATGAGGACTACGAAGAAAATAAACCATTGAGAGGATCAGGGATGGCAACATTGGATAAGTCAGTCAGAGAGGGCTTCCTGCAGGAGGCAGCATATGAACTGAGACCTGAAGGGGGAGAAGCCAGGCCTGCTGGGTCAGACCTGGGGGAGGAGCCCTACAGACGGTGGGAGGGCTGGCTGTGCAAAGACGCAGCAGGGAAGAGCAGAGTGGTGGGACATAAGGTTAAAGAGGGACACAGAGGCCAAGTCCCGTAAGCCATGGTGAGACCAGTAAAGCCAGTAGCCCGACTCAGGGCGGCCCCTGTAGGATGAGCAGGCGGCACTGCACGCCGTTGGGTCTCCGTGGCTGGGAGCTTCCAACAGTACATCCCCGGGCTTTTCTTGTGAGACGCCTTTGGGTGGATTTGAACTGCCAACCTTTTTATTGGTTGTTGTTTTTATGTCCTGTCGAGTCGGACCCGACTCATAGCGAGCCCTCCTTGGGTTTCCAAGGCGGTAACACTACGGAAGGAAGTAGATTGCCCAACCTGCCTTCCGAGGCGTGGCTGGTGGGTTTGAACCGCCAGCCTTCTGGTTAGCAGTCAAGTGCCTTAGGCACTATGCTACCAGTATCAGTAGCCAAGCATTTAACCGTTTGTGCCACCTGGGAATGCCTTAGTCCATGGTGAGGAACATGGATTTTATTTCACTTCAGAGTGAGGCCACCGGGGCCTCTGAAGCAAGGGACTGGCGTCTGGGTGACAGCTAAAGAAAGCACAAAAGCCAGCCAGGCCTCGTGTCAGTCCCGAGACACGGCGGCCGCATGGATTGCGGAGTGGAACCCTGCTGCACGGGGTCCTCGCGGCCGTAATCTCTGACGGGAGCAGAGCGTTTCTGCAGGGCCGTGGGGTAGGCTCGCACTGCCCACCATTATGTTACCAGCTCGTGACAAAATCTTTGCCCCGCCCAGGGACCACTGGTTGGCTGCTGTTTGAGGGATGGCCTGTAGGGGGCAACATGGAGGCAGGCGAGGCGGCTAGGGAGAAAGCTTCTATGT